AAGAGAGAGGTCTTAGAGCAGAGACAGCCCATGAATGCTTGCAAGCTAGGTAAAGCTGGGTTACAATACTGTTTCCTTCCAGGCACTGCCCACAAATAAAAGCCACCCCAAAAGGCATACCGGTGTGACACAGGGGTATGGTCTTCTGAACACTGAAAGGGCCATATATTTGTTCTGGACACCTCAGTGCAAAACATCCAACACCCAGCACACAATCAGGAAGCAAAAAAGCTTCCCCAAGGAACAGAAGTTTTTGTCTTTTCTTTAAGAAATTACTACTTCGGGAAGGCATTGCAGCACTGGAACAAAAGCTGGAAGTCAACATAAGAGATGGCAAGATATTACCAATATATCCATTACTAAATTTCAAGTAATAAAAAACATTTTGGAGTTTTTTATTTTTATTTTCCTAACATACAGGTGGTTTAAGCCCATCACCGCTGAGTAACACGACAGCAGCAAGGCCAACAGAGTGAGCAGCTACAAAAAGTGTTTCTGCGTGAAACTTTCTTTTCTTTGAGACAGAATCATTCCAGAGTGTTGAGGGCTGCTACAATGTCAAGGGTTTTTTGGGGGTAGGCCAATCACATGTGAGGTTGCTCAGGGAGAGGAGTAAGATGCTACAGCTAAATTTACCCTAAAAGCTCTCTGCAAACTGGATACCCACCAATCACTTCACCGCATACTGCAAAGGTGCCCCTCTGGAGATGGAACATGGTGGCTGTTTAACCCATCACTGCGCATGGGGCCGAGGATGCGAATGCAAACGTAAGCCTCAACTACCAGCTAATGCTCCCTACTCCTGAAAACGCATCCTGGGATTTTAAGTGACCAAGGCAGCTTTATCCAAGTGGTGCTAGCAGTGGCCTAACGCCCTCTAGCTCCATCCCAGGGTACACATTTAAACACCAACAGTACTCCAGTTACAGCAGTACTTTCTCGTAGAGCAAGGTTACGGATCCAGCCACTGGCGTCAACTAGCTGGCCCCACGACTCACTTTTTGCTGCCACCAATCACCTGGATGAAGGGACGGAGTGCACCCTCAGCAATTTTGCTGATGATACTAAACCGGGGGGAGTGTCTGATACACCAGAGGGCTGTGCTGCCATTCAGCAAGACTGGGACAGGCTGGATAACTAGGCGGAGAGGAACCTAATGAGGTTCAGTAAGTGTAGGGTCCTGCACCAGTACAGGCTGGGGGCTGACCTGCTGGAGAGCAGCTCTGCTGAGAAGGACCTGGGAGTTCTGGTAGACAACAAGTTACCCATGAGCCAGCAATGTGCCCTTGTGGCCAAGAAGGCCAATGGCATCCTGGGGTGCATCAAGAAGAGTGTGGCCAGCAGATTGAGGGAGGTTATTCTCCCCCTCTACTCTGCCCTGGTGAGGTCACATCTGGAGTGCTGTGCCCAGTTCTGGGTTCCTCAGTTCAAGAGAGACAGGGAGCTACTGGAGAGAGTCCAGCGGAGGGCTATGAAGATGATCAGGGGGCTGGAGCACCTCCCTGATGAGGAAAGGCTGAGAGACCTGGAGCTCTTTAGCCTGGAGAAGACTGAGAGGGGACCTTATCGATGCTTATGAATATCTACAGGGCGGGTGCCAAGAGGACGGGGCCAGGCTCTTCTCAGTGGTGCACAGTGACAGGAGAAGGGGCA